TACAGTATCTCTAGCAGACTTCTCTGGTCTAACAAAGAACGTTTTGAATACACTGCAGTGAGAGCACATAATGCCACCAAGTACAGGTATTGATGACTGTTTGGTTTTTCTATCACACAAGACATATCAGTATATATATGTGTGCTCTGTGTATATATATATATATATATATATTTGATGTTCTTTCTAAGAATTTTTCCAACTCTCCTCCTTAGGTGTTCCCTGGACCAGGACCAAAATATGTGGAATACCAGCTTTTCCAGAGGATCTGAGGACATCTGAACATACTCACAGCTACAAGAGATACTTTGTCAGTGTGGCTGTGACAAAACTGTATAAACTAGACTTTTTATTGTACTTTTATTGTTCCCCCTAGGGCAGACTCATCTGCATTGAATTATAAAGTGTTCAGTTGCTTCTTTTAACTCTCACTATTGTATTTCATTTAGACAGCTTGTTTTCATGGTATCCTTTGTGTGTTTGCTATTATGGTCTCTTAGGAACAAATATCCTTGTGTTTCATGTTGAGGAATGATGAGAAATGAGTTTCATCTATGTGTAGGGATCTGTTTTTTCTGTTTTCCCCTCCCCTCTCCTCTTGTTTCTTACCCACCTTTCAAGTAATTTCCCCACGGGGATTATTAAAGTATTTCTGATTCTGATTCTGATTTCTCTGCTGAGTTTAAAACCTGATTAAATGAACTGTTGTCTTCATCTCTCACTGATACAACGTGTTTGTTCTGTACAGTGAGCTACAACACCTCCATGAAAGGTTACATATAAATGACTGTATGTATTTTCTCGCATGCTGCTTCACTGTATACTGCTGCCACTCATCCCCCCACATTCTCAGCATGCAGTGTTGTGGCTTGGGTGCACAGAACGTGCGTAATTACGCACACGTGCCAAGTAGACGTGGGGATGTCCATATGATCAGTGGTTAGTTATTGAGCTATTACATGTCTAAATCAGTGATCAAGTAGATGAAGAGACCACTTGACCTAGTTACTGACTGGAGGACAGCCTGGTTTACCGCCTACCTGATTCCCGAAGACTCCGATGGAGCAGGCGGTGGACACCTCCTCCGAACCAAACCACACTGACGCGATTCTCGACGGCATCCCGAGGATGAACACCTGCGCGAACGAGCAGCAGAACTGCCCCAGAAAGGTGACGGGGAACAGGTTGGGTCTGACGCTGGCCACTTTGATCCACGTCCCTGCACAGTTGAGCGCAGTGGCCACCAGCGCGATGACCCGAAGCCCCTTCTTGTCCAGCAGCCAGGTCACCGGGAAGATGAAGGGGATGTATGTCAGCATGTAGATCATAGACATCCAGTCTATGGTGAAGGCGTCCACGTTGTAGAACTTCATGAAAATGTTGTTGATGATGCCGTACTGTATCCATTGGAAGGAGTTGCACAGTGAATACGAGCTGAACAGGAGGACAATCATCCACCGCCGCTTGTACAGACGGGTTGGTCGTGGCGCTTCATGACCGTCCAGCTGACTCGGCTCTTCGGCGCGCTGCGCCTCGTCACCCGCCTCCGGCTTGACATGGTTTTCCAAGTCCGTCTTGGTTTGATCCTCGTTTAGTTTAGTGTCACCTAGCGCTTGTTTCTCGCTCATATTAAACGAATCTCCTCAATATACTCATGGAGTATGAAGCTTTCACTCAACAACTAGACCACTGCAAACTGAACTAAAAGTGGTTGAAAGTCGCCCTGTTTCATGGGTGAACATCCAGCGCGTCACGTTAACGACAGACAGGCCTACAACTTCATGTTTTCAGCTAAAAGGAGAAGTTAATCTAAACATGTCTTTCGGTATGTGTATCTGAATAGTTAATAAGCAAGTAGTGACGGCTCTACAACTCCCAGTTTCTGTGGAACTGCCGGGTCCATAAATTCATTTCCTCCCTCGGGTTGAAGTTTGCTCAGCAGCCGAACTTACGCACAAAGCTTGCACAGTTTAAACAAGTTACAGTTAATTTCATGAATGGTGGTGATCCTTTCTTTCAAGCCGAGTTTCCGAGTGTTAACACGTGTAGGAGCGCCTGCTGTGACCCTCTACCCGGACCTAAAAACCGCTTTGGGATCTTGAAACAAGTCGGACAACGCAGGCACAAGGGCGGAGTTTCATACACTGTTCTTTGTGTTATCTGGGCAGCCTGTAACGCTGGGATATCTCTCAGTTACAGTTGGTAAAGTCCTTAAATGTCAGCGATTTCCTCTCTGATACAGTATATCTGTCGTAGGATATGTAGAACACACACAACCCATTATAACAACTTTTACTTTACTTCCCAGTCTAAACTAATTGAATATAACTGATCATTTATTTGGTCCTCTTGCCCTATTAATAACAAACTGGTTACAAAAAGTGTGAATACCATGAAAGCATCAGTTGTCTTCAAGGACAAATGTGAAATCATACCCAGGCAGGGCAGGCTGTGCATTATTATTTTTGTGCTTTACAACATTGCTGCATCTCTTATAATGGTAAACAGTGCCATCTAGGGACTCCCTCATCAAAGAAATAAAACACCAAGGCCACATGTACCCTGTTACAAGCACCAGTTCAGACTTTACATGTTGCATGCAGGCATGAAACAAGGTCAGAAACAATCATCTAAAAGGCATTACATTTAATAAATATCTTTGCTGGGTCTTCTTACGTACCAGCATTATCACCAATACACAAGTCAAGACCCCTTTGAATGCCCCCTCCTCACTGCCAGTCGTTTCTTTTTGGTAAACCAAAGCCTTTTTTTGAGGATCTTGACTTTACATTCTTGTTTGTCCACAATCAAATCTGTCAAAAAGCTCCTGAGCATTATCGATCCACATTTACAGACTAAAACACATTAATAAACACAAGAAACTCAAAATATGACGAGGTGACAGAGGATCTCTCTGTGACACAAAAAATAAGCAATTTACAAAAATATTGTGTCATCTGTGTCACCTGAACATACAGTATGTTTTTTTGTCTCCCAATGTAAACATAGACTGGTTTATATTTCTACTTATTGAGCCGTGAAAGTTCACATACAGATCACTGATATTATCAGATTAAAGCAAAGACATGAGCAGAAGCAAAATAAATAGTTTTGAATACTGCATACAGTTTGGGTTCCATACTGTCATTGTTTGGCAGACATATTGGCCTGTCATGTTACTCCTTGATCAGTTTTGAACAGTGATTAACATTTATAGACACATCTCCAGTCAGTCTTTCTCTCCATTGAGGTCAGTCATCTGTTCGCAGGACGTCTTTCGGCCATCTCAGTAGTCATCCAGGTCAGTGCTGGTAGTGTGGTACAGTGATGTGCTGGTGGTGGTAGCTGCTGTGATGAGTAGGGTAGAGGAGGTCTGGGGTCTGGGGAGTCAGGCCGGTGCACAGAGGTTCGTGGCTGCTCAGCACGGATGACAGATACTTGGCCTCTTCGGTCAGCTGCTTCACCTCCTTCCTCAGGGCAGCGTTCTCCTTCTCCAGGTTCTCACTTTCCTGGGAAACACACAGGGACAGGATAAGTGATCAGAAAGTGACTTTTGTGGTTTGGCTGTGTGGTTAGATAATTCAGATAAAATGACATAGAAGTGATACTCTTTCGAGGAAAAGCCAAATCTTTGCATGTTTTTGAGTCTTAACTAGAAATTCAAGTATTTTTTCCCCTTCAGCATTTTCCAAAGCATGATTTCTATTTGAGTGTATTCACTCTATGGGTATCTGTTGGTCCATCTGTTTGGTCCAGATTATATCTTAAAGGTCCAGTGTGTAATATTTAGGAGGATGTATTGGCAGAAATTTTATATAATATCTATAGGTATGTTTTTATTAGTGTATAATTGTCTGAAAATAAGAATGTTTTCGTAAGATTACAATGAGCAATTTTCTTCTACAGAGGGAGCGGGTCCTTCCTCTACAGAGTTCGCCATGTTGAACCACCATTTTTCTACAGTAGCCCTGAATGGACAAACCAAACACAGGATCTAGATAGGGTCGACCTTTTCAAATAACTTGTAATGAGTTGGTGGCCACTTTTAAACTAGCACCATCAGGTGTTCAGTACTATAGTTAATGACTACAGGCCTGCTAAACAAATGGCATTACCAAGAGCTTCAGTTGTGTGTTGTGTTTATTGCTAACTAGCTAATGTTAGCATGCTAACACACTAAACTAAGCTAGGGTAAACACCATACCAGCTAAACATTAGCATGTTGTGACTGGGTGAATGTTAGCATGCTGGCGTTAGCATTTAGCCTCACAGTACAACCTCACAGAGCTGCTAGCGCTGCTATAGACTCTACAGGCTATTAGTATTCAGTGTACTCTTATAGTCTTGTTTTACTATCACTTCTCCCACAACATGGTGTTGGTGGTTGCAGTAGCAGTAGACCCACAGCCTCACAGAGCTGCTAGCATGGCTGGAGACTCGCTGTCATGTTTTCCTAAACTCATAGCAGCCAAAAGTTTCCATTCAGTTCAGTAGATGTGAGAATCAACATGAAGATATCCTACTTTGTTATCTGTGGTGGCATCGTGTCTACTTTCAGTGGAATTATAATTCAACAAAAAATTAATGGGCTGTGTATATCCAGCAAGTCTCTTCAAGTCCATTTTTATATTATACACAAGCTATATGAAGACCAGTCAAATATATATAGCATATATTACATACAAATAAATGTGAGGTATTTGTTGGAAAATAGTTGGGAGTAATGTAGGCTGAAATGTATTTTTAAAACCTGCTTAACATGGTATTATCAATAATAATAATGATAATAATAATAATGAAACCAGGTGGTAATGTTGGTGTTAATCATGTTGTCGTTTTTGTTTTGTTTTTACAACTATACCATAACATTGGTAATAAAACTACGTTATTTTCAGGTAGAGCAACTATTAATGTTTAAGTTTATTCAACTTATTTGTCTGGCCTGAAAAACAAACATACTGAAATGAATGAAGCCCAAAAGCTGCTTGGGAGTTAGTAAAAACATAAAAAAAAGAAAAGAAAACCCACAGCACACCTCAGTTTGCCTTAGCTACTTCACTGTAAGGTAAATGTATATATACTGAAAAGTTGCCATTCTAACACTTTGGATGATGGAAGTAGATTTTCCAAAACAAGGTGTTTTGTACTGATCGCATTCAAAATAATATAAGTAGAGCAAACAGTACGTCAAAATGTTTTTTTTCTTTGTTGTGGGAATAGCAGGGGAGAAATATTCCACTTAACTGAAAAGGTCATCGTACCTTGGCCGAAAGATTATAATACTGAGCTGTGGGTCCTTACTGTCACAGAACCTTTGGGCAAACCCCTGCACTTGCGTCACTTAGCCAAATACAGCCCACTGCTATCAGTGTTTTACAAGAAGTGACTGTCTTTTTCTCCCCTCCTGCCCACGACATACAATTTCAAGTTCATTTACACAGAAGAAAAAAATACTACTGAAGAAACAGGAAATAAGCCACCGTGTCATAGAGAGGGAAAATTCGCCTTCCTGTTTATCTAGTGAGACGATGAAAGCAAAACCACAGAGTATGCTGTGGTCCCCTGGTCTCTGTGACTATGACAGGGTTTAAAGAGATTTAGAGACAAACAGTAATTCATGAGAAGGATTCTCGTGAACTCAAATCGATGGATCTACTACTGCCTACTGTGTGGCTTTTCTGAAGGTCAAAATGTATTCAGTTCATCTGATAAAGTTCACAGAAACAGCTGCTCTGCTTTCATGGTTCCACAATGGTTCCACAATTACAGTACAGCACAAATCATCTTTGCTCGTACAAGGAAGTCACACAGCGAGTGGCTGTGTGGTCAGTACACTGAAATGTGTGCTGATGTAAGAGGTGACAGCATGTAGAGTTATTGCAGGCTATAAATGTTCATAAGATAATTACATATTTTCAGAAAAAGCCATAATGTTCGTAGACCTACTGCATACACAGGTCGGTTAATTAACTGAAGATGCGAAAAGAAATTGAAGATGTGTGGCCTCTCACTGACAAATACCTGAACCTTGGCAGTAAAAGCTGAAACCAAGAGGGATCTCTTACACCGAAGACCAACTATCACATTAAACAAGCTGCATTAAAGAACAATGGGGGCAATGAGCAAAGCGCTGCAATTCAGTGCTGCAATCTCTAGTGCTGGATTCTGCTGCAAAAAGGGAGTGATTGCCCACACGTGCTAATTTATTCCTTAAGCTTCTGAAAACACACAGAGCAGCGTCCAAGTGTGCAGCCCAACAGAAGCCATGACACATTCGCCACATGGTCAGGTAGCATTTCGTAAATATAGTACAAACCCATTCCCAAATGCTTGAAAGTGCTGCATGGGCACTTAGAAAGTATTACAGACACAGTCACTGTAAGTTCACATCCACATATGGACTTCTATTGGACAACTTTGCTCTTTTATCATTATTCATGGGAAATATTGAGACGATAATATTCATTGTAAATTTCCCTCCATTACTATATACAAACTTTTGTAAGGATGTCCTAGCTAATGCTGTATCTGCTAAACTAAACAGGCTAGAAATGTAGCTTGTGTACAGAGTCATCCTTCAATTTTCCATCCTTGATTGTCCTTCTAAACTGTGCAGTACTTCATTGAGGAACAGCAGTTTTACATGTAATATCCTCTTTGACAAATGTCTTAAGAAGCAGGCAGTGTGTGTTGCAGAGAAAAGTCTCCTTACCAAATGTAGGCTGTCAGCTTTCTGAGTTTGTCTCATCCTGCTCTTCTGAGCAGCAATCCGGTTCTTTTCCCGCCTCATTACCTTCTTTGCATCATCTGAGGAGCTCTATGAAAATACAAGTGTTGATAGTTACTGTTTGCACACTCATAAACGTCAAATGACAAAGTGAAAGGCACAGAGAGTTTCCTGTACCTGATAAAAGTAAAAATGCTGATTAAGATCAGACTGAGGCAGTGTATGTCACTGGCTCCTGCTGGAGGGTTTACGTGTGAAATGGAAGCGTTATCTGTTTTAATGACAGTTTGACAGAAGATGGGCTAAACTTAACAACGAATGTGAAGGGCAGGGTCGGGGAGTGGCTGAGTCATCGCTTAGGTATAACGCACACCCTGTTTCATGTCCTGAACACTCGATTTTCTTGGTATCGTTATAACTAAACTCATTTCAAAATGCTGAGTCAGTTGTACATCAAAGAGATAACAAATTATTTATAACGTCCGTTAACGCATAATGAAAACCCAAAACAACTGATACTGCTTTAAAACTGCTTTAGCCACATAAAGTAAAGCCCCCCCCAGCCCCCTCAAGCTTGTAACATGTAACTTGTAACAAAAACAGCATTTGAATGTTATATTTCTACAACACTCTTAAACCAAGAACAGGAGCAACAATGTGCTACAAGAGTGGCACACGTGAAACCAGTCAGCACTGAGGATGATGAGTCTCACATGCACAGAAACAGTACAGTACACACTGTATTTACCACTCTGGCTGTTCCTGACAGCTCTCAAATCATTCACAGTTTGAAGACTTGCAAAAACAAAGGATTCCCACTGCTTGGATAAGTGATACATTTTGCAATTCACAAAAGCCTACACTTGAAGCGAGTCATGCCTGCAGCCCATGTGTGCAAGTGAAACACTCTGAGGAGCTGTGAAAAGAGCCAGCTCGCTGATTGTTGCTGCCCACCAAATATGCATCAAACACTACATCCAATCTAAGGTTTAGAAGAAATGTGTAGCATTTAAGTTACAGGAGTTGTATTTAAACACACACACACCCATAGAGCTTCAGATGAAAGCAGGTAAACTGGCCACATTATCGAGAAAGTACATGAAAGTACACACTTACCGGTCTGCTTCCAGGAGATGGGGACTTGTAACTTGTGTCATTGCTGTCAGAGCCCTGAGCCATAGCCAACTGCGGCGACAGAAACCGTGTGTCTTTGTCCACTTCTGCTTTGTGTTTTTGAGTGTGTGTGTGTGTGTGTGTGTGTGTGAGTGAGAGAGAAAGAGAGAGAGAGAAAGGAGGAGAGAGAGAGTCTGTGTAGCAGAACGAGTGCTGAGAGGAACTTGGCTTAATGAGTCTCTTTCTTCCCTCTTTTCTTTCCCTTTCTGTCACTCCTCCTTCTCTTTCACTCTCTCGCTTGTGTTCTCTTCCTTTATCTCTCTCTCTGTCTCGCTCTCTCGCTCTCTCACTCCCCCCCCCCCTCTCTCTCTCTGACACACATACACTGCGAGACTAGCTGTCTGCCTAATTAGCTGTATCTGATGTGGCTTCTGGTAAGAATCATCTGGGTAAGTTGCAATAGACTGGAAGTCACATGTCTGATGGAAAGTTAAAGCACATAAGGTAATCTTGTAAACTCCAGAAAAATAACATATCGAGGGTTTAAGGTACAATTTGAATAAATATGGGCGATACTGGCCGTCTCAGGAAGATTTTAAATTTTTTACCTACCTGACACGTGAAACATACTGGAAGAAATTATTTAAGAAGAACTTAATATTTGGTAGCAGCACAATCAAAATTGAAGAAAAACTTTCTCCTAAAAGAGAAGATATTAACCTTGCTGCAACCTATTTTTCACATGTGATTAGGCCTATATGTGTGTTTAGTGTGTGTGTGTGTGTGTGTGTTTGGGGGGCTCTGTCTGGGTGCAAGTGTGTTAGACAGGCATCGTGGGCATTCCCTCTTCCTCTTTTTTTAGCAGGCACATATGCTATCATGTTTCGATAAATCCTCAAGAGACAGCGCATCCTAAAACTCCACATGGATGACTGGCTTACACATGCTTCATGGTAATTTCCAGAGCTGTAACGCGCTCTCTTGCTTTGCAACACACCAGCTGCAATAAGGTGAGGCAATGTCATAGGGCTTTGAGCATTAAGAAATGTCCAAGGGGCTCCCCAGAACCCCACCTAGAAATCCCTCATTGTCTTTCACTCTAAATGACTCTGTGAAGACGTGGGGAATCTTCTAGAAAATGTACAGATTGAGGAGAATTCACTGAATGTACACAGTGGTTTTGGGGTTTGAACGTGCTGAAAGTTAATAAGATTTTTGAGTTCCCACTGTACGACTTTAGAAAGCGTCTAAAAAAGAAACATCAGAGTGTGTCTGACACATACTGCAGCTTTAACGTCCAATAAAAAACCTGCGTTAAAGACACGGGTGACGGCGGCGAGGCTGCATATGTGAGCTCTTATTATTTTCTTGTTTGCCCCCATCACGAGGTAGCATTTGGTGATGCAAGAACAAGATTTTCTTGTGAGAAAAAAAAAAAAAAGAATCAGGACCAAAACAGCTTTGCTTGGCAGAACAGCCCTCCCACACAAAAACATGTTCTACCATCACAGGAATTTTGAAGAGCTTGGGCAAGGGCAGACATTTCTAATGCTTGGCATTTAACGCTGTCCAAAAGAGTTGAGACTGTATAAAGAAAAGGGAGAACGCAGAGGAAAGCTGATTAGTCAAATTCTGCTTTAACCGGGACGCAGACACAATACAGTACAAATATAGACAAACAAAACAAATCTACGGCTTTGACTTAGTGCGGCCTAATTTCTGTGTTCAGTATATTTCCAAAACCTTAAATGACTTGAAGGTGCTTGAAATACACAGTCTTACAGTCAATGTGGAATGCATTGTGATCATTGCAACATAAAGAGACATTTATTTGTTTGTCTATTTACTTCAACATTATTTCAGTGCACTGTAAGTGGATTTGTTTCTCTCTGGTGCTCAATCAAGCTCTTAGCAAGAACTCGCTACTAGACTTGATAGCAGCTTATTAAAGGGAGGAGAGTTCAATCTAGAGACCCCCTCGCACAATATAAAATCCTGACTAGAATTTAGCAGAAACGATAAGTACGGTTTAAATGGTTTTAACTGCTGCTGTCAACAGTAGTCACTCCTCTTCTTGAGGGCTTTTACTTTGGAAAAACCCTAAAGGGCAATTTATTTAGATAGAAAACTGAGCTGCCTTCATTTGAGCTACGTCTTCCTGGGAAATGGCTGTGGGAGGTTTCTAATAAGCACTGAATTATAGAGAGAAAGTGAAGAACTGAC